ACCCCAGAAGCTTGAAAAACATCCCAGGCATGTATGCATGTGAGTCCCAAATCCTGAGAGGATGGAAAAATGGTTGAGAAGTGATTGCAGTATGACCATACCCCAAAAGGAATGCTTTCTCCCTCTCCCCCAGCCCACCAGTACATACACCTTCTGGCAACAACAACAAAAGAAAGAAAGAAAGAAAACAAAAGAATAATACAGATTTGTGACCCCACTCTCTCATCTATGGAATCAGGAATTCCATAGGTAGGAACGAGAAATGTACAGGTCATGTCATTATAACATGCACTTTTGAATGCATTTCTCGTTTTTATACAACCACTGTATTCAGAAATTATTTTTTCTTGAGACCAGCAGATGACATATTGGTTACGTCGCTAGACTCCCACGTGGTTGACCGCAGTTTGAGTCCCAGACCCGGTGGCTGAAAATTCACGCTGGGCACATGTGCATTCGTGCCCAAAATCCCAAGAGGAGAAGGAAGAGAAGGGATTGCAGTGTGGCCAACCCCACCCCACTCCACCCCCACCCCGGGTGGGGTGTTTCTTGCTTTCCATCCCTATGTTTTTGACTCTCCGGTGAGTGCACATGTCACATGACAAAAAATATCTCTAGGGAAAAAAACAAAGAAATAATTTTTTCCTTTTTCTTTTTACAAAAAGGGTCTCACTGTATTGTGATCCTCTGGCCTCAGTCTCCTGAGTAGCTAGGATTACAGATGCACACAAGCCCGGTTTTTTGGGGTGGACCAGGAATCCAACTTGGGCCTCCCATGTGGTCTCAGCTTACTGGCCAGCAAAATCTAACACATGCTACCAGGGGTGAGCCAAGAATAACTATTTTAAAAAGCCAATAATAGAAGTTACAAAAATAAAACTTAAGTAATATGTATGAATAACTGATATAAACTAGATTATTGTTTGAGTTATTATTTAACATCATGTGTAAAAAGCCTTATCTTCCAATTAGACCTTGAACTTTTTTTTTTTGGAGAGGTTTTTGCTATAGGGCACGTGCGCTCGCCAGACAGACAGAGAAAGATAGAGAGATAGAAAGCGAGAAATCACCCCCCAGGGGGATGGCTACGCCACAATCCCTTCTCCTCCATTCTCCTCTCGGGATCTTGGGCACACACGCACACGTGCCCAGCGTGAGTTTAAGCCACCGGGTCCAGGACTCGAACCGCAGTCGACTACGTGGGAGTCCAGCAACATTACGCAAAGTGCTGGTCCCTTGGCCTTGAACTTCTTGAGGACAAGAATCATGTTCCTCCAAGAACCTAGCATAGAGTCATTAGGTATACAACAGTTACATTAAAAGTGCTTATTAAATGACTCAATGAATGAGAGTCATAACTGATTATGTGAGGATTAAAATACTATACCAGGTACCAGCGGATGGCATAATGGTTTCGTTGCTAGATCCTCATATAGTCAATTGCAGTTCAAGTCCTAGAACCAGCAGCTTAAAACACGCTGGGCATGTGTGCATGAATGCCCAAAATCCCGAGAGGAGACTAGCTGAGAAGAGGTTGCAGCGTGGCTGTTCCCCCAGGGCGTGATTTCTCGCTTTCTATCTCTACATCTCTCTGTCTCTCTGGAGAGTGCACATGCCCTATAGCAAAAATCTTTCTCTCTCTCTTAAAAAAAAAGAAAAACACATTGGCGGGCCCCCTCTTAAAAAAAAAAAAAAAAAAAAAAAAAAAAAAAGCTATACCATTTAAAAATAATAAAATTAAAAATACCTGGATCTTAGGGATCAGCAGTTGGTGTAATGGCTATGTCGCTGGACTCCCATGTAGTCGACTGCAGTTCAAGTCCCAGACCCAGTGGCTTAAACTCATGCTAGGCACAAGTGCGTGCGTGCCCAAGATCCTGAAAGGAGAATGGAGGAGAAGGGATTGTGGTGTGGCCATCACCCTTGGGAGGTGATTTCTCGCTTTCTGTCTCTCTGTCTCTGTCATATAGCAAAAACCTCTCCAAAAAAAAAAAAAAAGATTAAAAAAAAACAAAAACAACCTAGATCTTGGTATGACATTATTCCTGGCAAAGCACATTTCTGATGACACTGTATTCACACCTATTCATACAGTTTTAGTTACAAGAATACGGAAAGACTCTTACTCTAAGGTATTTCATTTATCATGTGATTTCATGGCATATAGATCAGTAAGTCATCACACTGCTGATGATTCTTCAAGTGGAGAATAAAATAAAACAAAGATTTTTTTAAAAGGCAGGAGAAAAAATTTAAATAAAACATAAATAGTAGAGGGTTGGCCCTATAAAAGGGAGCCAGATCCTACATGAACAAACCACAGTTCAAATCCCAGCCCCAGCACATATGTATATACACCCCATATCTCAACAGAGAAATAAAGGACAGGGGATTGTTATGCGATCATGTCCCATGGCACAGGGGGGAGGCGGTGTTTTCTCCCTCTCTCTGTCTCTCCACCTCTCTCTGGAGAGTGCATGCAATTTAAAAAACAAAAACAAAAATACACCCCAAGAATATAAATAAGAAAAAAAGAATAAGAAAATAAATAAATCGTTATTTACCAAAATTCTCACTGAAGATCAAAAGATTTTAGATGTGGCATTTTTCAAAAAAAGAGTTTAAGAAATGTGTAAAAATAGGACGCTGCTCGGTTTGCCCGGAGGTTGTTTAGTAGACTGCTGACCCACTTGTCCACTATGCTTCAGGGTACCAGAGTGCCAGGCTGTGGTTTATGATGGAGCCCAGGCTAAGAACAATACAAAGGCATGCCTTTGTGCATTGAGGGGTTCACTCGAACCACTCACTACACAGGCCGCTGCTCTGACCAGAACCAGGGTCAACATCTCAAGGTGTAGACAGGCACATTAAGAACCATCTCCAAAAATAAGATCACAGGGTCAATTGCTGAAATGTGTGAGAAACAGGAAAGAAAGAAAAGGAAACCGAAGGAACAAGACGTATACATGTATAATGGAAAGATGGCTACAAATAAAAGCAAAAGGGGCACTATCCATTTTTCTAGCATATTCTGTGAAGCAGTGAACAGAAGTTAAAGTGGGTTAGATTTCAAGGAATGAGTAGGTAAGGAGCAAAAAACCTCTTTAGTAAATATATCAAAATTTAAGCGGAATGGGCTGGCTCCACAACACAGAGGGTAAGTTCTGAGCAAAGGAAGCTGATTCCTACACGGCCAAACGAATTTGAGCTCTGGCCCTGGTGGCTTGAAAAACATGCTGGGCACATGAATATATGCCCAAATCCTCACTAGATGGAGAACTAGAGGAAAAAAGATTGCGGTGTGTCCAGGCCCTGTTGAGGGGTGCTTTCTCTCTCAATCTCTCTTTCTCATGCATGTACATGTGCTCTCTGGTAATGTTGTCTGTCTTCATGCTGTTCCTATAAGTTGCTATTAAAATACTTTAAACTAAAAAAAAAAGTTATAAAATGTAAGCTGGACAATTTTACTTCTTACATTGTAAAAGGGGTTAATGTACTTATATTTGAGATGTTCTACTCACCCTATTGTTTATTTGTATATTTCTTTAAAATTTTTTAGGATATGGATGTGAAGAAAGCAAACAAAGCGTAGTTGGATAGTTAGAGGAGCTTAGATAAATCAGCTCTGTATGTGTGGATTAAGAGGCAAGAGGAACTGTATTAAGATATATTAAAAGTTTGAAGGATGTGATCAAGGAAATAATGAAAAGTATTTTCAGTTTGTGTTAAATATAACAGAAAGAAGTATAAACTATGTCAACGGAAGAGGTCAGCCTAGTGAGAATTTTTTAAGTATCAAGAACAAAACTAAAGAGAAATTCAAAAAGAACTGCAGGGAGTCATAAGGTGAGGTACAAGGAAGAAGAAGAAGAAGTGAATGGCATTTCTAGTTCCACAGAGTAATCATTTGGAAACGATCACTAAGAAAATATACCTACTGAGGATATTTTGACTCCGTATCTTAGTAAGAGAGAGCAAGAAGCACTTTCATTACGGATTAGCACTAAAAGGCCAGCCTTTATGTACAGACAGAGCTGGATACAAAACATGGCATTATCACAATACCACCTTCTGTGGTTTCTGCAAGTTAATCAAATTACAGATGAGCCTTTATCTCATCTGTAAATGACAGCAATAACACCTACACCTTGCAAGATCACTGCAGTTGTGGTAATGCATTTAAAGTGCCTCGTACAACAGTAGGTAGGTACTGCTGTTAATGTAATAATTATTAATATTGTTAGTCTTACAATCATTGTGTGGCAACGAAGCCAGTCAACAAATATCTATCAGGCATCTATTGCATGCCGTGATGATAGAGGGAGATGCTGGAGGACAGGAGACAGACTGCAGACACTTTTTTAAAAGGAGAAAACAAAGAAAAAGTCTAGGAAGCATGATTGTAAAATATGTTAATATTATTTTACTTTTGAAATTAAAAAAAAAATCTTCTCTTATTGCTGAGATTGAAGCTTTCAAAATACGTAATATAGCCAGCCTAACATATACCATATAACACATAGAGCAAATGCTAATAATACCAGCAATGTAATAGGTTTTAAGCTAAAGGCTAAGAAATTAGCATATATGCAAAAAAGACTGATATTAGAACCACTAATGAGTCAAGTGAACGTCCAGGTTGGAGCTGCCAAGAAGAATCTATAACCCAAAGGTCCGTCAAAAAAAAAAAAAAAAAAAAAAAATCATACAGTACTACTATTTGTCCCTAATGAAGGTACTGGCATGACAGTTTGTACAAAATGTCCCCTGCACACATCATCCCTGTGACCCAGAGAGAAGAATGGCCAAAAAGACAAGACCTTAAGGAGACAAAGCTTCACAGGGCCAAGGCATACAACTGAAAGAGCTCAAAGCTCAAAACACAAGAGGTTCTCTGCCCAGAGGACATAAAAGGATGAATTAAAAATAAAAGCTCTTATTTAATAATATAAGCTAAATATGTAAGTCTCAAATTAAGAATTAAAATGATTTCCATTTACCTGATTGCTTAGAATTTCTTTCTTTCCACTGAATATTTTTGCATTTGATCTGGTTTTGTCTCTCTTTTCGGAGTCGTTCTAATCTTTGAGCTTGAAAAGAAATATTATAACTATAAGTTTGTCAATGAAAGTTTACTATAAACAAAGACATAATTAACTACCTTTATATGAATAAAGATGTTTTATATTGCATATGTAGAAAAAAAGTCATAAAATTTTAAAGGTGGCACCCCTGAAAAGCAAATACCAACAAAAACATGAAAATATTCTTGATTTATAATTGAAATTAGAGGATATAAAACATTAATAGAGATCATAAAGATAGTATTAACATGGAAGAGAATAATAAAATGTGAAAACTTCTGTGATTAATATGACATTTCATTATATAAATCATTAATAACGGTCTTAAAGGAATTTTAATGCACAAATGAACTGAAGTGAATATTACATTACAGGAATAAAATTACTGTTATGAATTACTCTACCCGTTTCAAAAATTAAAGATAAATGAACTCAGACTAGACTATTAAAGTTTTAAATATAAAATCCTTTATCTAAAAATCATGAAAATTATAAAATGTCAAAGCTATATAAATTAGCATAGCTTTTCTTCAGTGGGCTGAAACAGTTTATAGGTAGTAAAATAAATGATTTGTATCTTTGTAACATTAGTCAAATCTTAAAAAGAACAATTTTTCTTTTACAAAATTTTAAGATACGCTGAGAGGATTAAAAAGTAAATTCCTTGGTCACTAGGACAAGCCACAATCTCAATTAATTATTAGCATGCAAGTGCTACCTAAAGAAATTCCAAGAAGAGTCACCTAAAATTATTCGTTTGTAATTACACTGCCACTGGCTGATCAACCTGTAAAAATCAGTTTGCTGACCCTATAAAGAAATGCCGTCCAGCATCCATTTGCAATTACTGTGCAGAGACACCACAACAGGCAAGAAGGGCACGGCAGATGCCATCTCTTAAAATTAGCTTTCTCTTGCTAATCTTCAACTTCCTGTCCTGGCACGTGGCTAATAAGAAGCAAATAAAACAAATTTCTTTTTCAACCACTTTCCAAGTAGGAAATCACATACTCCTGCCTTAGCACTATGGTAGGGAAACACTGAGAATAATCTTGCCAAAAATGTAAACTATGCCGGCAAAAGCATTCTGACGATGTCGCTATATCTAAAATTCCATTGAAGAAAAATACATTCAATTGCAATTAATAAATGTGAAGGGTACAGCCAAAGTAATATAATCGTAAAGCTCTCAATTTAGCAGCATTCTCCTACTGAAATCCATTCAACCTGTCACATAAGATATCATCTCAATAACTTGCAAGGAGTCAGTTTCAACTAGAAAACCGAGAATCAATGATTCTAAATTACATTCAAACCTTCACTCAAATCCTATTTTGATAAAACTTCCTTTAGATACTGGGAAATGCTATTAATTATTTTCATCATGAGAGCAAATTATTCTTTTTGATGGCACGGATGCTGAATCCTGAACAAAACCTTAATGTGCCTTTCACTGTAAATTGTACCCAGCTCTACCTCCAACACTTCTTTATGTACATCTTACATTTGACCAGGAGAGTAAATATGCAAATATGTTCAATGTTCTGCTTACTACACCACCTGCCATTACCTCTCCTGGGGGTTAGGAGGTTACTCCTTCTGAGTTAGAGGTGATATTTTCTAATCATCTAAAAAAAAATGATCTCCTAGAATACCCTGTCATATTAGAACTACAATATGTATTCTAAATACTGTATCTGTCTAAGGCCCTAGTTCATCACATTCCCTTTGAAAGGTCACCAAAATATATAAGCTGGGCAGGGGGAGATGGTAAGCTTTTAAAACATAACAGGTAAACATATGCCAAAGTTGAGCACTTTCAAACCATAAAGATCAAAGAGTAATGATCAACTTAAAAAATAAAGGTAAAGTATCAAAAACAGGGCCACTTCTAATCTCACATGCTATGAAGGAATTCCTATTAAAATCAACCCTAATCATTTCCCACATTCCTCCATCCTCTACAATTTCCCCCAGGGAAGAACTGTCTCGGGCAGGGGTGGCCTGCACTTCCTGACTGGTCAGCTTCCCCTAATAAAGGTTCTTTATTATGCCAACCGGAAACCTGCCTCCAGGTGGTAATGCCAACCTGAAACTTGCTTCTAGGCGGTCTTGCTCCCGAGGCTAATATTGCTTTGTGAAATCACCAAAAACAGGTCTACTTTCCTTTCCATGTAATGATTTTTTTAAAAAAGATAATATTCAACACATCTCTCCTAGCCAACTTTCTCACCTATTCTTCTATTTCTTCTAGACAGAACATCATTCCAGATGCCATCTCCACTCACAGTCACGGAGATGGAAACGTTGCCCAGGTTCACTCAGTCTGACACATGCAATGTTCCTATAAAAACCATTAAACCTAGCCCAACATTATGCATTATTCCATATGATTGTTTACTGATTTCGAGCTCAGAAGACATGACTAGAAGATAATGTTTACCTGTGTTTGAGCGTCTTCTAATACCAAAGTCCCAACTTGAGGTAATATCGACTGACTGGGCATATACATAGCCCTGAGTCTCACCATTGCTTCCCTGAATTTCTGACCCACTGTCTCCGGGCATTGAAGGAGGATGAATCTTCTCTAGGTCAACATCATGATCAATGAGAACCATCTCACACATTCCCGTGTCATCACTGGTCACATGGGACTGTCGAATATGAGCTAGAATGATAGTTGGATTGTCCAAGAAGGCCATCCTTTCTGTGGGCCAATTTCCTTAAAAGGCTATTTTCTCCTCTTCATATTGTTTCACGAGCTCACCTACCTAGAAACATGATGTACACAGCAATATTTAAGAATATGGCAGAAAGTGACTGAATCATTTGTCAAACAAATTCAATGTGGTAAAATGCTACCTTGAAATGCAACATTTATCCCTGCACCTAGGAGCTTAAAAGGATTAAATCTAAGCTGAAAGGAAATCCTTCTAAGCACTAGGGCTCCAGTTCCAGTCAATGAGATGAGATCTCCACGGTATCAAAGAGGAAGGTTGGCTTTCTTGAAAAACAACAGTAACTCCTTAGTCAGGCCACTGAAGCCAAATAACCACTGCTAAAATAATAAATTCTCCTCGCTTTTCCCTTCACTCCCATGCAGTCTTCTCATTACTTTATAAGGTCATGGGGGTGCAAGTTGTATTTTCTTCAAAAAATGTGCTAAAGTATGAAACTATTTCATCGGTTTACATTTCCCATCCTATCATATGGTTGTGAAGTGTTTAAAAGGGCACAGAGAGTGCTTTCTGAAATACTTGGTATTTTACAAATACGTACCATCAAAGTAATTTTGCTTGATAAATGTATTTTCCTTTTTTTCATTTAAGACAACACTGTGCTTTTGGGAACCAGCAGTTAGCGTAATGGTTATGTCGCTGGACTCCCACGTAGTCGACCGCGGTTAGTGTCCCGGACCCGGTGGCTTAAAACTCACGCCGGGCACGTGTGCGTGCGTGCCCAAGATCCCGAGAGGAGAATGCAGGAGAAGGGATTGCGGCGTGACCATCCCTCCTGGGGGGTGATTTCTCGCTTTCTGTCTCTATGTCTCTCTGTCTGTCTGGCGAGCGCACGCACCCTACAGTGAAAATCTCTCCAAAAAAAAAAAAAAAAGAAAGAAAGAAAAGACAACACTGTGCTTTTAAAATAAAAATTGCCTGCTACAAGATTAATTTCTTGGCTTAGAAATGCAGGTCCAGGGCCAGCAGGTGACATGGTGGTTGAGATGCTGGACTCCTACATGGCCAACCATGGTTCAAGACCTGGCAACCAGCTTTTTCATTTTCCCTCTCTCGTTCTCTCTCTCTGTCTGCTTCTCTAGGGTGAGCACACATGACTTATAGCAAGGACTAATAATAATAATAAATTAAGTTAAATAATTTTTTAAAAACTGTGTGTGTGTGTGTGTGTGTGTGTGTGTGTCTGTGTGTGTAACCCGGATGGCTACAGGGTTGGGAAGAACATCGCAGCATGAAGATCCTGTCAAAGGTGCTCCTCTCTTAACCTCTCTCATGAAAGAAAGAAGTATTATTTTAAAAAAAAATGAGAAACAGAATACTTGGGCCAGCCCCATAGTCTCATGGGTAAGGGAGCCAGATCCCATGTGGCTGACCACAGTTTGAGCCCTGATCCCACTGGCTTGAAAAATACACAAGGTACATGTGTATGCATGCCCAAGGTCCTGATGGGGTGGACAGATGGAGGAGAAGGGATTATGGGATGATCATGTCCCATGAGGGGGTGCTTTCCCCCTCTCCCTATCTCTCTCCAATGAGTGCATGCTCCCTCTAGCAATTAAAATAAATAACTAAAGAAAAATGGTAATACTCAACTAAGAAAATATTATAGAACAGTGGTTAGGAACTAGACATCAGAGAAAAGATCTGAGTTCAAATTCTAGTCTTGTTACTTAATAGCACAATATGATCTTGGTCAAAATACTTAAACCATTTTGAGCTTCTCTTTTCTTTCTTCACTTATAAAATGAGTCCTCTCATCCCTGGAGCCTTAATTTTACATAGAGACAGTGCAGGTAAAGTGCTCAGAAGAGAGCCTGGTACATAATTTAACCGTTAGCTGCTACTAATAATGATGGGGCCAAGCCTTTAGTGTAGTGGTTTAAGCGTAGTGTGGAGGGAGCTGGATCCCACATGACTAACTGTAGTTCAAAGTCCAGCCCCAAGTGGCTTGAAAAACATGTCAGGCACATGTGCACACATGCCCAGGATCCTGATGGGAAGGAGCACTGGAGGAAAGGAAACTGTGGTGTGATCAGGCCCAACTGGAGGGGAGGGGCCCTCTCTCTCTCTCTCTCTCTCTCTCTCACATGCATGAGCCCTCTAGCATTTAAAATAACAATAATGATGATAAAGGTAAATATGTCATTACTAATTTCAGATTTTGATTCATATTTGAAGTAACCCCAAACTATATTAACATCTCATCCTTCTTTGTAAATCCACGGCAGATAAAATAAGTCTGTGCTTCCTCTGAGATACAGAACACAGCCGGTCACTTCGGTCACCTTCCTGCTCCTCCAAAACCATTTCCAAGTATAGAGAATGTGAAAGCTGGATTGAATATTTTCCTAAGAATGGTCCTAGAAGGTTTTTTTCCCCAGTCATATTTATTTTTACAAAGACCCATAACACCAGATTTTCTTGTCACTGGTTTCTTCTAGAGAAAGAACACAGGGCAAAGTCTAGTTAATAAATCATTACAGCAAGATTTTTAAAAGTTTTATCTGGTACATCACTCTATTGACAGCACCTACCAGGTCTTAAAATAAAGATACTGAGATTAAAAGAAATGTAACTGAGGAGCATCTCTAATCAAGTGAGCTACATTAATCTTCACTTATTTCCTCTAGATATATTCAGAGTACTTATTTTATACTAAGGTGAACAGGAAATGTGAAAGTAAGGCATCTATGAATAAGTGTTTACACTCTAATACAGACCTAGTACTCCCCTAATACCATGGGATTCTTGTAAGTGTTAAATTTCTGATACATTTAGTCTCAGCAACATTAACATCAAGTCACCACTTTAAGTATATTAATCACTGGCCAGCCTATGGCACGGAGGTTAAGGTGGCTGGATCCCACATGGCTGACACTGCATTGTTCAAGGCTGGACTCAGAGGCTAGAGAAACATAGTGGGCACCTGGGCATGTGTGCGTAAAATCCCAATAGGAAGGAGACATGGAAAAGGAATTGTGGTATCAACATTCCCCATGGGAGGCGATTTTTCAATTTTCCCTCTCTCTTTGGTGAGTGCACTCAACCTCTGCTAAAATTTAAACAAGAAAAAGTATGTTGATCAGAAAAAAATTACAAAATTAAAAGGAAGCATTTAAATTTCACTTGCAAAAACAAGAACCTTTTCTATAACCATAAAGAGATTTATAGAGGTGGCAGGTGGTATGGTGGTTGAGGTGCTAGACACTCACACGGCTGAAAACGATTTGAGTCCTGGATCTGGAGACCTGCTTTCTCACTTTCCCTCTCCCCTCTATCTCTCTGGTGAATTAATAATAATAATAAGTTAAATAACTCTTCAAAAAGAGAGATCTGGGACAAGTAGATGGTATAATGGTTATGTTACAGAACCCCCACGTAGTCAACTACAGTTCAAGTCCTGGACCCAGCGGCTTAAAACTGATGCCAGACTAGGGTGTGCATGTGTGTGTGTGTGTGTGTGTGTGTGTGTGTGTGTGTCCAAAATCCCGAGAGGAGAAAACAGGAGAAGGGACTGCGATATGGCCCTCCCCCTGGGGTGTGTGATTTCTCGCTTTCTGTCTCTCTGTCTCTCCAGCAAGCACATGTACCCTAAAGCAAAAATCTCTTTTAAAAAGAAAGTTATAAATACAGAGGATTACTTGTGACAGTATTTGTTTTGTCACAGAGTCATAGCATCTCAGATTGCCAGACACTGCAAATATACACATGCAGCAAACACCACTGAGCTGTCTTCCTTACCTGAAAGGAAGGCAACTAGTTGGCACAAGGGCAGGTGTTCGCAACTGCACAGAGTATTCCTCCTGCCAAAACAAGGGCTTCTGTGAAAAGCCACACATTTAACAGGTGTGCTGGCACTGAAAAGTCGAAGGGCAGAGCAACAAAAGTATGCTGAAGTACTCTCAATAAAATCTTTTTCAGAAAAATAGACCTATCCCTTCACTTAAGAAAAAGGGGAATGAGCAAACACCTCTGAAGGCACACACCAACTCCGCAACAGTATCCTTAGAGAACAGAGGCCTCAAAACACCCCAACACTAGCAGATATCTTCTCTGTTACAACACTGACTTCATGGATGGAGAGCTGTATGATTTACTCAATAAATATTTATTCAATACCAGTTCTGATAGGATATTCTCATGGGACTAGCCTGGAAAACATGCTGTTGTGTATGTCACTTTCCACCTCCTATCATGAGTACTTGAAGTCACAGACTCTAAGTTCCACAAGGACAGGCCCGTACGTAACACCACATCCCTTCTGGCAACAAAGGCTGTTACACATGGCAGGAATTCAATAAAAATGTTGCCATCCAAATTCTGAGCACTATCCAATTTTGTTGTAGAGATAAGTCATATATGAGCATGTCAGGTGTGTGATTATGAAGAAAGGATTGCTTTTTATTATTATTATTAATACAGATTCAAGAGCTTTTCTTCAGAGTGCCCTTCAGAATGATCATCTTGGGAAACTAACAAGTTATTCCAACAATATGACTTCTCAAAACCAAAAGAATATTTTAAAAAAGCTCCTGAAGAGCAGTAAGTTATCATGTGAAGGTATACTTGATTTCTAAGACAAAGACATTCAGAAAATAAGTTCTTTTCTCTGAATAGTTATACAAAGAGCCAAAAGATAGAAAGAAAGAAAGAAAGAAAGAAAGAAAGAAAGAAAGAAAGAAAGAAAGAAAGAAAGAAAGAA